GAACCCGGGGCCGAGGAAGAACCGTGCTGGGCCCCGAGCCCGGGGCTGAGGAAGGACCGTGCTGGGCCCCGAGCCCGGGGCTGAGGAAGGACCGTGCTGGGCCCCGAGCCCGGGGCTGAGGAAGGACCGTGCTGGGCCTCGAACCCGGGGCCGAGGAAGAACCGTGCTGGGCCCCGAGCCTGGGGCTGAGGAAGGACCGTGCTGGGCCCCGAGCCTGGGGCTGAGGAAGGACCGTGCTGGGCCCCGAACCCGGGGCTGAGGAAGGACCGTGCTGGGCCCCGAGCCTGGGGCCGAGGAAGGACCGTGCTGGGCCCCGAGCCTGGGGCCGAGGAAGGACCGTGCTGGGCCCCGAGCCTGGGGCTGAGGAAGGACCGTGCTGGGCCCCGAACCCGGGGCTGAGGAAGAACCGTGCTGGGCCCCGAGCCTGGGGCTGAGGAAGGACCGTGCTGGGCCTCGAACCCGGGGCTGAGGAAGGACCGTGCTGGGCCCCGAGCCTGGGGCTGAGGAAGGACCGTGCTGGGCCTCGAACCCGGGGCTGAGGAAGGACCGTGCTGGGCCCCGAGCCTGGAGCTGAGGAAGGTCAGCCACCGCTGGGGGCCTCAGCACTGCTCCAAGGTCTGATGCGGGGGTCACGGCTGCTGCCACTCCAAATCACCCACTGGGGGGCGGTAGTGATGACAAGGACAGGCCCAGGTGGGGATGAGAAAGCCTTCAAGCCTGGACGTGTCACCTGGGAGGTTTGGCCACGAGATGGAGGCCAGGGCAGTGTGGCCACCGCAGAGCAGGCAGAGGAAGGGTGGCCCGGGGCCCGGTGCTCACAGGTCTCCGTCAGGGGAGGCAAGAAGTTCCTACTAGAGCTTTCAAAGTCCTAAAGATCATAAGATCAACACTTATTTTTATTTATTTATTCATTTCTCCCTTTATTGATTTTAGAGAGGAAGGGAGAGGGTGAGAGAGAGAGAAACATCGATGAGCGAGAACATCGATTGGCTGCCTGCTGCATGCCCCCCACTAGGGATGGCCCACAACCTGGGCGTGTGCCCTGACCAGGAATCGAACCAGCGACCTCTTGATGCATGGGTCAACGCTCACCCACTGAGCCACACCGGCCGGACATAGGATCAACATTTAATGGAGCTGCCTCCTGCATTTTTATTTCTGTGCAGAGCGGCGGCCTCGCATGGAGCTGGGACCCCAGAGTCAAGTGCACCGGGCCGCGGTCAACACGGGCTCCAGGATCACCCCTTACTCACCACTTCCTGGTTCACTTCCCCACTCTCCAGTGGGTTCCTAGGCTCACCTACCACCCACACTGTTTGCACTTGAGTCTGTCTTTCAGGCTCTGCTTCTGGGGGAGCCCACGCGAAGACAGGTTAGCACATGTATGTGATCAGCACTGGTTACCTCTGCTCGCTGAAGGGTGCTTGGGGCGAGGGCTGTTTCTCGGCCGCCTGAACGTCTTTGGTGTTCAGGACCACTTCGGCCCCTCGGGCAGTTTTTCACTAAGGGACAGAGGCCCTACATTCACCTGGTCACGGCCTCATGAGCAGATGCCGGCAGAGGTGCCTCTTCTGTGCCCGGCCCTGTGTCCTCACGGGGTCACGGTGCCCTTGTGCGGCTCCCCTGCTCCCTGGCTTCCTGATCCTAGTGCTCCCCTCACTGCCGTGGGAGTGGACTTCCCGAGGCACAGGTCAGCCAGTGATGGCGTCTCCGGGTCCCCGTCCTGCTCTGCCTCTCCCGCGGTGGCCCAGGGCCGGCCGCCTGTCTCCCCATCTGTAGGAGCCCTACCTCCAACTGCCCAGTTTCTCTGAGAACCACAGGGGTGGTTGCAGGAGGGCTTTGGACTCGGTCAGTAGCCCCTTTGGACTCTGCCAGGGCAAAGCTTGGAGGGGCCGTCTTCTTGTGTCTTCCTCTGCCATGTCCTTTCCTCATCTCTTCTTATAAGGGTACCAGACATATTGGATTAGGGCCCCTCCTGTGACCTCATTGTAACTTAATCACACCTTTAAAGGCCCCACCGTCAAATATAGTCGCGCTCTGAGGTGCGGATGATGGGGGCAGAGCTCAGCCCTGGCGCTGCTGTGACCGTGGGCAAGGGCATGAAGCTGTCTGGGCCCCGTGTCCTGCTGCAAAACTGACCAGTGACAAGGTTATTGTGAAGATCGGTGTGTAAAGTTGTGGTCTCAAACTATTTTGCTTACATCATTCCTAAATCATTTCAAAACCTGTGCACCGGTCAGTGTTTTGTTGATGTTTTGTTGACATCTACACTTGTCACCGTGAGTGTGGATTGTTGCAGAGGTGGCAACTCCCAGAGCGTCACAGATGCTGACATCTTAATGAAATGCTTAAATCTCTTTCTTACACCCAACCGTCATGGTTTATAACTACCTGCTGATTTATTTTATTTTATTTTTTTATCCTCACCCGAGGACATTTTTCCATTTTTTGTTCAGGTAGAGTGGGAGGAAGAGAGAGGAACAGAGAGAGAGAGAAACATCGATGTGAAAGGGACACATCGAGTAGCTGCCACCTGCACGACCGACCAGGGCCGGGGACAAACTGCAACCGAGGTACATGCCCTTAGCGGGAACTGAACCTGGGTCTTTCTGGACCGCAGGCCGACGCTTTAACCGCTGAGCCAAACTGGCCAGGGCTACCTGCTGATTTAAAGACTCCATAAATAAGCTTTAGTTGTTAGGAATTTTATATTGTTTCTTTTTCTCCTTGAGCTTTTATTTTCACCTCACTTACCCAACAAAACTTTATTCTACTTGAGTACGTTTTTTGTTTTGAAAGTCCTTTATTGATCACCCTGTTATACTTTTCTGTAAAATGATGTGTATAACATTTCAAATTAATTTTTTATTTCCTTATTCCATAAATCTCTAGGTTTTAAATGATTTTCTAGATTAAGTTATCAATATTGCACAATTAGTAATATTTGGAAAATGAGTGTAAAATGAATCAAAACCACAAAAATACAAAATTTAGATAAATAATTAATAATCATAAGAAGTAAAATTTCATTAGAAATGTATTTTATTAAAATGGATTTTAATTTTACTTCATCTACCCTTGTATAAATTTGGTTAGTGATAGACTTCAGCATCAATTGTATTCCTATTTTTTAAATAGCTGTAAGCTCTGAAATACTCCGTTCAATATAAACAGGCAGGGATGGATACACTCGGATACACTCGATAGTCTAACCGCTTCCCAGTTACAAGACAAGTCTTCATCGAAAACGATCTTTAGTACTGTGCTGGCTGCCATCCGGATCAGGTGCTCATCCGTCGTCGCTGACGGCCCAGCATCGGAAACGCACCCAGCGAGAGGTTTCGTGGCCCCGTCGTCGTGATTCACCTTCTCAGGCCGGCACCAGTATCTCAAATCGTCTCGTTTGGTGCCCACTGCTTTTGCCCCAGGACAGGCTCCGCAGTACTAGTTCGGGTGGGGGAGGGTGGGCCTAGGTTTTCTGAAACGGAAAGCAGATGTGATGGAGGGTGCACATTCTGACCTCAGGCATGTCTCAGGAGAAAGAATTCTTAGGACAGACTCTCACGGCAGGTGCGAATCTGGAAGTACGTTTCCATGGAAGCGCCCGTCCTGAGAGCGCTCGGGGAGCCGTCCCGAGGGTGTGCATGCACCCGTCTGTATAACAAGCTTAGAATAGTGCAGGGATTTGTGACGTGTTCGGTAAGTACCCACTGTGGCTTTATTGTTGTTGTATCTGTAAACGTTCTGGTGCAGAGTACTGGAATGGGACGCAGTAGCTGGATGCAGGGGGAGTTTAGGTACTTACAGGGGTGGGCAAGATGACCCTAAAGGAGCCCCTCTAAAGCTGAGACTCGTCATCCTGGTCTGGAACCTGAACCGGCCACCTGCTCGACAGATCGCTCCAAGTGTGCAGCTCACAACATTCCGTTTGCTGACAGTTTGGCAGTCAGCAGTTGAGCTGGGCTCCGCTGAGCACTTCTGGTCTCAGACGGGGTCACGCAGGCGGCTGCGGTCAGGGCTGATCCGCTGGGGCCTGCTGGGGCCTCGCTGAGATGGCTTGAGTCTGAGGCATGTGGTGTCATCATCCAGTAGGCTAGCCAGGCGTCCTCATGGTAGAAGTATCCCCAGCCGAGAGGGAGGGGGAAGGGGGTAGGGGGAAGAAGGAAGGAGGAAGAAAAGGGAGGGTAGGGGAGGGAGAGAGTGAGAGCAAGCATCCCAAACCTCAGAGCACAGGGACCTTCTACGTCTCTGCTCGGCTGATGTTTCCGGGATCGAAGCGTGCCACATGGCCAAAGGCAGAGTCAGTGTGGCCACACAGAGTCAGGGTGTTACACACGGGTGCGGATAGATGCAGGAAGGGGTGATCACTGGGGCCGTTGACACTGCCATCGACCACACAGCCCCGGGCCCTGTGTCTGCTTCAGCTTGACTTCGGTGTGAGATGACCTCCCCTGTGCGCTTGGCTTGGACGCTTGTCCGGATAACTGGATAGTCCTCGTTTTCCTCTGCAACTGGAATCTTGTTTCTCAGGGAAACCCACTGAGGAGGATATCGTACTCTAAGGCTCTTTCTCCCAGGGCACACGACTAGTCCTGGAGAGCACTGATCAGAGTGGAAACCCATTTTATAGAGAGGAGCGTCTAAGTGGAAACAGGTGGCCCCCCAAAAGCCTTCTATCATTAAGGGAGAGCTCAGAAGTTGGGTGACTCTGTTACTCCTGGAACCCTCAGGTTAGAACCCAATGCAACCTAGCAAAAAAACAAAAACAAAAACAATTATGTCTGGGTGTATGGCTTCATGCCTGGCTTAATCCAACTGTGGAACAGTATCCAGTCAGTGGTGGCCGTGCTCTGGCCCTGCTGGACTCATCCGAAGAGAAGTATGTGAGCCTGAAAGGTGCTTCATAATACCTGGGCTCCCATGACTCCTGTTTATTCCTGGAGCATATATGTATAAAGTAGCATTTATTTACCATCTTTTATTTCTTTTTCCTTTCACAGTGAGACATTATTTGGTAAAATGCCCTCAGAACAGGTAAGAATATTTTTGCTTTTACTTTCTTTTTAAAATATTTTTATTTTATTTTAAATGTATCTTTATTGTTGAAAGTTTTACAAATGTCCCTTCTTCCCCCCACCATTGAACCCCTCCTCTCCACTCCCATCCCCCCATCTTTCATCTCACATTTGTCTGTGTCCATTAGTTATGCAGTTATACATATAAGTTCTTTGGTTTATATCTTCCTAACCCCCATCCCCCCATACTTCTTCCCTCTGAGGTTTGTCATTCTGTTCCCTACTTCCATGTCTCTGGGTCCATTTTGTTCTTCAATTTAATTTGTTCACAAATAAGTGATATTATGTGATACAGGTCTTTCTCTGACTAGCTTATTTCCCTTAGCATAATACTCTCCAGGTCCCTCCATGCTGTCTCAAAGGATAAGAGATCTTTCTTTCTTAACAGCTGCATAGTACTCCATTGTGTATATGTACCACAGCTTTTTTATCCACTCATCTGCTGATGGGCACTTTGGCTGTTTCCAGATATTAGCTATTATAAATAGTGCTGCTATGAACATAGGGGTACATATATTCTTTCTGATTGGTGTTTTGGGATGCTTAGGATATACTCCTAGAAGTAGGGTCACTGTGTCAAATGGCAATTCCATTTCTAATTTTTTGAGGAAACACCATATTTTTTTCCATAGTGGCTGCACCAGTCTGCATTCCCACCAGCAGTGTACTAGAGTCCCCTTTTCTCCACACCCTAGCCAGCACTTGTTTGTTGATTTGTTGATGGCGGCCATTCTGACAGGTGTGAGGTGATACCTCATAGTCATTTTAATTTGTGTCTCTTTGATGATTAGTGACATTGAGCACTTTTTCATGTCTCTTGGCCATTTGTACGTCCTATTTGGAGAAGTGTCTATTCAGGTCTTCTGCCCACTTTTTACTTAGATTGTTTATCTTTCTTTGGTTGAGTTATACAAGCACTTTATATATTTTGGATGTTAACCCTTATCCAATGTATCATTGGCAAATAATGTTCTCCTATACAGTGGTGGGTTCCCTTTTCATTTTGATGCTGAATTATTTTGTTGTGCAGAAGCTTTTTAGTTTGATGTAGTCCCATTTGTTTATATTTTCCTTCTGTTTCTCTTTCCCTAGGTGTTGTATTGGTAAAAATTCTCGTACATGGGATGTCTGAGATTTTACTGCCTATATTTTTTTTCTAGGAGTTTTATGGTTCCATGACTTACATTTAAATCTTATATCCATTTTGAGTTTATTCTTACGTATGGTGTAAGTTGGTGGTATAGTTTCATTTTTTGCATGTACTTGTCCAATTTTCCCACCACCACTTGGGAAGAGACTATCTTTACTTCATTGTATTCTCTTGCCTTCTTTGTCAAATAATAATTGAGCATAATGGCTTGGGTCACCTTCTGGGTTCTCTTCTCTGTTCCATTGATCTATAGGACTGTTCCTTTGCCAGCATCAGGGTGTTTTGATTATAGTGGCTTTGTACTATATAACCTGCTACCTGGTACTGTAATCCTTCCAACTTTGTTCATTTTTAAGATTGCTGTGGCTATTCTGGGTATTTTATGGTTCCATATAAACTTCTGGAGTATTTGTTCTCGCTATGTGAAATATGCCATTGGTATTTTAAAAGATATTTTATTGAATTTATAGATGGCTTTGGGTAGTATGTACATTTGAATAATGTTGATCTTACCAATCCATAAACATGGTATATGCTTCCACTTTTTCATATCTTCCCTTATTGCATTTTTCAATATCCTGTAGTATACTGAGAACAGTTCTTTTACTTCCTTGGTTAAGTTTATTTCTAGGTATCTAATTTTTGTTGTTGTTGCAATGGTAAATGGGATTTTTTTTAAGTTTCTATTACTGAGTATTCATTATTGGTGTATAAAAATGCCATTGATTTCTGGATGTTAATTTGATATCCTGCTACTTTGCTGAATAAATTTATTAAATCTAGTTTTGTGGTGGAATCTTTAGGGTTTTCTGTCTACAGTATCATGTCATCTGTGAATAATACCAGTTTCACTTCCTCCTTTCCAATTTGGATGCCTTTTATTTTTTCTTCTTGTCTGCTTGCTGTGGCGAAGACTTCCAGTTCTGTGTCGAATAAGCGAGGTGAAAGCAGACATTCCTGTCTTGGTCCTTTTCCTAAGGGAAATGCTTCTAGTTTTCTTCCCATTGAGTATGATGTTGGCTGTAGGTTTGTCATATATGGCCTTTATTATGTTGAGGTATGATCCCTCTATTCCCACGTTGCTGAGAGTTTTTATTAAAAAATGGGGGCTGAATTTTGTTGATGCTTTTTCAGCATCTATTGATATGATCATATGATTTTTATCTCTCATTTTAAGTGGTGTATCACATTTATTGGTTTGCAAATATTGTACTAGCCTTACATCCCTGGGATAAATTCCACTTTGTCATGGTGACTAATTTTTTAAATATATTGCTGGATCCTCTTTGCTAATATTTTGTTAAGGATTTTGACATCTATGTTCATCAGGGATATTAGCCTGTAATTTCCTTTCTTTGTAGTTTCTTTATCTGGTTTTAGAATTAGGATTATGCTGGTCTCATAAAAAGAACTTGGAAGTCTTCCTCTTGGATTTTTTTGAAATAGTTTGAGGAGAGTAGGTGTTCATTCTTCTTGGAATTTTTGGTAAAACTCTCCTGTGAAGCTTTCCAGAGCATGGCTTTTGTTTGCTGGTATTTTATTGATTACAATTTCTATTTCATTAGTTGTTATTGGTCTGTTCAGGTTTTCTGACTTTTCCTGGTTGAGTTTTGGAAGACTGTATGATTCTAGGAATTTGTCTGTTTCACCTATACTGTCCAACTTGTTGGCATATAATTGTTCACAGTATTTTCTTATAATTTTTTTGTATTTCTTTGGTGTCAGTTGTTACTTCTTTTTCTTTTCTGATTTTGTTTATTTGGGTCCTCTCTCTTTGTTTCTTGGAGAGTCTGACTAAACATTCATCCATCTTGTTTATCTAGCCACAGAACCAGCTCTTGGTTTCATTGATATTTTGCATTGCTTTTTAAAAAAATCTCTATGTAATTTATTTCCAGTCTGATTTTATTAGTTTCTTTCTTCTATTTACTTTGGGATTTTCTTGTTTTTCTCTTTCTAATTGTTTAAGATATAGAGTTAGATAGTTTATTAGAAATTTCTCTTGTTTCTTGAGTTAAGCCTCTAGTGCTATGACCTTTCCTCTCAGGATTGTTGTGTTACATAGATTTTGTGTTGTTGTGTGTTCATTTTCATTTGTTTCCAGAAAGTTTTAGATTTCTTCATTGATCTCCTTCATAACCCATTCATTGTTCATTAACATGCTATTTAGTCTCCATGTGTTGGAATGTTTGCGAGTATTTTTGTTGTAATTGATTTCTAGTTTCATGCCATTGTGATCCAGGAAGATGCTTGATATGATTTCAGTCTTCTTGAACTTGTAGAGATTTAATTTGTGTCCTATCATGTGATCTGTTTTTGAGAATGTGCCATGTGCAATTGAGAAGAATGTATATTCTGCAGCTTTGGGGTGAAATGTTCTGTCAATATCAATTAAATCTTTCTGATCTAGTGCATCATTTAGGGTCTCTATTTCCTTGTTAAATTTTTTTCTAGATCTATCCAGTGATGTCAGTGGGGTATTAACATCCCCTACTATGATTGTATTACGGTTGATCTCTCCCTTGGAGTCCTCCAGAAGTTTTTTGATATATTTTGGTGCTCCTATAATGTGTGCATATATATTTACCATAATTATATTTTCGTGTTGGATTGTTCCTTTTAGTATTATGTAGTGACTTTCTTTGTCTGTTATTATAGCCTTCTTTTTGAAGTCTGTTTTATCAGCTATAATGATTGCTCACCCAGCTTTTTTTTTTTGCATGGAAAATTTTTTCCGTTCTTTCCCTTTCATCCTGTGTCAGTCTTTTGTTCTGAGGTGGATCTCTTGTAGACAGCATATATTTGGGACATATTTTCTTATCCATTCAGCTACCCTATGTCTTTTGATTGAAACACTTAATCCCTTTATATTTAAGGTTATTATTGATACTTATTTATTGCTATTTTTATTTATCATGCCTATGTTTCTCTCTATATTTCTTATTAATCTTATAGCAGTCCCTTTAACATTTCTTGTAATATTGGTTTGGTGGTAATACATTTATTTAGCCTTCTTTTGTTTGGAAAGCTCTTTATTTTACCTTCTATTTTGAATGATAGCCTTGCTGGGTATAGTGCTCTTGGTTTCAGATTCTTGATTTTCATTACTTTGAATACTTCATGCCATTCCCTTCTGGTCTGTAGTATTTCTGTTGAGAAATTAGCTGACAACCTTATAGGAACTCTTTTATAGGTAACATGTTGCATTTCTCTTGCTCTCTTTAAGATTTTCTCTTTGTCTTTAATTTTGGCATTTTAATTATAATGTGTCTTGGCATGAGCACTTTGGATTCTTCTTTGCCTTGGGACTCTCTGTGCTTCCTGAACTTGTGTGACTTTTTCCTTCACCAAGTAAGGGACGTTTCTGCCATTATTTTTTCAATTAAGTTCTCTAACCCTTGCTCATTTTTTTCTTCTTCTGGTACTCCAATGATGCGGGTATTGTTATGTTTCATATTGTCCCACAGCTCTCTTAAACTGTCCTCTTATTTTTTAATTGTTTTTGTTGTTGTTGTTGTTGTTGTTGTTTTGGTTCTCTGATAGAGTAATTTTTTTTTCTACCCTGTCTTCTCATTTGCTGATCTAAACCTTGTCTTCCTCTAATCTTCTGTTTATTCCTTCAGTGTATTCTTTGTTTCTGCCATGTTATTATTTATTTATGACTGGTAGATTTTTGTACTTTCTGCATCTTTTTCTATGCCTTTGAGCATCCTTATAATCATTACTCTGAATTTTATATCTCTTAAATTACTTATCTTCATTTCATTTAGGTCTTCTTCTGGAGAATTCTCTTGTTCTCTCATTTGGGG